CTTTGATCTCTCCAGACCCACAACCTGTTGGTTTTGTTCCCTGAGGAACAGAGGCTGATGGGCCCGATTGGAATCCCCACCACCATCGAATCCATTCTGACTCACAGTAGAACTGCGCCTTAGGGTTTACCAGACTACATCTCCGCAGGAGCAGACAGCCTACCTCTCTCCCGAGGAGTGGCTAGTGTGTTCACACCGCTGACCTTGCCCATCCCGAAGCTTCCTCCACTGTGTCACCAGGACTGATCATCTGAAACCAGACACACTGCTCTCGAGTCAGTTCTGACTCACAGCGACCTGAAATGACGGAGCAGACCGGCCGCTGTGGGTTTCTGAGACTGTAACTCTTTGTGGGAGTAAAAAGCCTCATCTTTCTCCCAAAGAGTGGTTGGTGGTTTCGAACTGCTGACCTTGAGGTTAGCAGCCCAATGTATCACTCTACGCTACCAGGGCACATCAGGGCTGATTAGAGGAGTGGAAATGGTAACGTGGATGAAGCAGACGTCGTCGACACATCACCCACCCAGCCCCCTGCCCCATGTTACAGAGGAAACCTATTCCAGAGGGTTTATTGGCCAGAAGCTTTGTGGGAACAGATCACTAGGCTTTCCATGGCAGCTCTGCATGGATTTGAACTGGCAACTTTTAGGTCGATCAAGCTCAGACTAGACCCAGGACCTGTGCTTTTTGCTGCAAGCAACACCTGGCACCAGCTGAGTTCAACAGAACCCAGCGGCAGTGATGAGGGTTTGGGGGTGTTGCTCAGTAAGTCCACAGTGGAGCGGAGACCAGGCTCTGGGCTCTGTTGGTCTTTGCCAATGACCCCTCCCCTGGCTGTGCCAGTTCTCACTCAGGGGTCCGCAATCTCAGGGGGCTTCCCCGCACCGACTGGCCTGGCCTGCATCCTTGAGAGGGAGCCGGAGACAGTGCTCTCTGAGTGCGTTCATTCACTCTGCTGATGGTAGGAGGTGATGCCCGTGTGCCCAGCTCTGTGCTCAGCCCGCGCGGTCCAGAGATGCTGACCTCAAGAGGCTCACAGTCTAGTGGGGTGGGGGTGGGGGTGGGGACAGCAAACAAGCAGGATGACAGGTCTGGGCAGCGTGCAGCCTCTGCTGCAGGACCACACCAGGGGTCATTCCACAGATGGTGAGTGTGACGTCTGAGAGGACAGTTCTGCCAGAACTTCTCCGGCTCTTACCTGGGTCCTCTGCCCTTCAGCAGGCTGTGCAACAGTCCAGCCATCCAGAGTGGCCCTGAGGAAGGCTCCACTGCCTCCCCGTCACCTCCCTCTTGCCATCACACATCACAAAGAACTCCCCTTTCTGCAGGGATGTGGGCAGCAAGGCCAAATGTCTTTAGACTGCCACGAGTTTTTCTTCCATTGTTTCCATCAATATAAACCCAAGGTGCCAAATACCTCTTGGATTGGAGGCCCACAGCCCTCCAGGGAGGGAGACAAAGCTGGGAGCAGAGCCATTTCCGTGCTCTCTTTAACGTGGGCTGTGACTGGCCAGGCTGCCAGTGCCCCAAATGCGTTTCTTCCTGGGGTGATAGAGAATCAATTGGCTTGATGCAACTTCTGGATCCTTATTACAGCCTTGGCTCAGGCCCACCAGAAGCCCTCAGACAGACATCAATAACCTTGCCTCTCATTGCCTTTCCCAGCACTGTTACAGTGCGCCAATATTTATGTACACTTTCACGACACAGCCAACAGCAGCCGTGTAACAGGGTGGCCAGCCAGGGGCTGTGGCAAGGCTGTGGGCTGCTGTGCTTTTTCTCCTTCAGTTTCGTCCAGTCTTGGGACAGGGAACTCTTCTCTTTCCGAGTCCTCCTCTCCATTAACCCCAGCCTCGGTTTCTATTACCATCCACAGGTTCTGAGTTAATCAAGCAGGTGATATTTGCTGGGAATCCATAAAGGCATGCTGCTCACATGTGTTTATTATCTCGTGCAAGCCTCACAGATTTCGATCCGAGAAGTGGTAGTTAGCAGATGAAGAAATCAAATCTCAGAGAGATTAAGGCATATGCCCAAGGTTATATGGCCACCTGTGAGAAATACAGGGCTTCTGTTTAGGTCTGGACCTAAAATTTGATGTACTTTTAATTCCACGGTATTACCTTGAGTCTTGATAGCTCAATAAATAAATTTTTATATATTATTGACATATTATAGATTCTACATACATAAAGTTAGTCGTTAACTATATGAGGAGGCTTCAAAATGTTCATGGGGGAAAAATTCCATTATCTTTTCATTTCACTTTTCCATGAGCCTCTTGGTATCCCCTTGTATATGTTCCAGGCACTGTAATAGATTCTGGAGATAGTAAAATGCGGGAGACAGGCAAGGTCTGTGCATCGTAAAACTGTATGCCAAAACATAAACAAGAGCATCTTGGATGATGGTAGTGTGTACAGAGAGTTCAAGTAGAATGATATAAAGATATTGGGCATAGCTATGGCCCCAAACCCTCTCTAACGTCTTAAAAAGCAAAGGTGTGCCTTTGAGGACAAAGGTGGCCCTGACCCACGTTGCGATATTTCCAAGCACATCTTATTCATGTGAAAGCTAGATAATGAATAGAGAACGTGTAATAAGAATTGACCCATTTGAACTGTGATGTTGATGGAGAATATCGAATATTGACAGAAGGAATGAATCTGTCTGGGAGGAATGCTTTTTAGAAGCCAGAATGGTCAGACTTTGTGTCATGTCCTTTGGACATGTAATCAGGAAAAGAGCAGTCCCTGCAGAAGGACATCAGGGAGAGAGAGAAGACCCTCAATGAGATGCATTGAGTGGCCCTGTGGCTGCTCAAAGCCAGCGGCAGTTGCTCTGCACACAGCAACCTGGCC